ATAGATATATATACCTATATATATATATATTCTAAATAGAGTATATACAGTGTGTATATATATATAGGACTTATATAGTTTACAGACTTCAGGCTTTTCGTCGGTTCCTTCCGTGACTTTTGTGCCACATGACAGGAGCTCCTAAGCTCGAGCAAGATACTTCTCTTCATGAAAGGCGCCTTTGCTGCTAGCAGGGGTCGGGCGGAGCTTCTTGGGTTTACAAAATCTACAGTGTCGTGCACAATCTGTATTCATTAAGGAGGAGTGTGCACCCCCAACTGTCAGCCGACAGCCTGAAAACTGTTGCGCGTGGTTCATGGTTTTGGGTTTTGCGATTGTTGGGGTGCCAGGATGACAGAGAAGCATTAGTGCTTTGCTCCAACAGGGCTAAGGATTCGCCGTTGTGTAGGTTCAGTGCCTAAGCCGCCTAGCATAACTTGCCCCAGAACCCGATGGTGATCTGAAGTTGGCAGACCAAAATCGGGTTGGGGAAGGGATCGATTTTCTTTCGATGTTGGTCACGAGCCATGCCACACGAAAACCACGAAACGTTCCAAAACGTCCAAAGCGACTTTGCATCATGCGACCGCGCATTCTTCCGTCAACATGCCACCCCCTCAGACAAGGGAGTTTGGTACTTGCCAAGCCAGGGCCCCGTCGCAGAATCCAGGATAACCTTGGCTGGGCCACTACCTGCACATCTAGATTCATGAAGGATTCAGGTTGTCCGGATTTCGAAAGCTACGGTTAGTGCCTTTATGTGCTTCGTGTTGGGCCGAGTTTTCAGCTTTTTGTGTTACTGCTTTGTTTACTTCGTGGAGATATGTTAATCATCTCTGCTCTAGCTTGCGCCTGAGCCCTCATAAGCCCCAAGCCTGGCAACCCGTTGGCTTTTACCATCCGTGCTCGCACACGGACCCGAGGAGTCCACGGCCGAAAAGCTGACGCATTACAGACGTCGGAAGAAGAAATACTAGTAATCTTCACTAGGCTTCCTTACTATCCTTATACTTTGCTAGTCCCCCAAACCTTACTCGATTCATTAAGGCCTCTATGTTGAATGTCCTGCCCTGCTGCTCGCAATTGGTGCCCTCTTTATGCGAGGTTCACCCGACTCTCCCCGTTGCCGCTTCTCCCGGGCGGCTGTGCAGATTCTTCGAGCAACTCGGAACACAACCACGTGACTATGCACAGACGTCGACATGGTCAAATCTGGAGGCATCAGTAGTTGTGAAACGCACAGATCGATATATATATATATATCCAGGACTGATTGAGAATATTTCTTCGTACTCATTCACTAACCTGGGGTTTATGTGCACGCATGTGGCCATGTGGCATGCATATGCATAAAGATTTTATACACATGTGCACATACATACATATTTCGTGTATGTATGTATGTATGTATGTATGTATGTATGTATGTATGTATAATATATATATATATATTAGATATACACATACTTATCTGCGACTCTTCCGGCAGACGTTCTACCGTGTATACGGTAACAGATGTAACGCCCCGCATGGCGCTCGAAACAGCGCAAATCCGGAACTTCAGACTTCCAGTGGTTCGAATTCCCAAGAGTTTCCAGGGCATTCGATGCTAATCAGTTTCTAGTATTCTTTTAACATATATGTATACATATAGATATGTATATTTAATATATATATATATATATATATATACTCATATATTGCTTATTGAACTACCTACGTATAGGCACACTATAGCGGCCAAGAGGGCAGGCCACAGCTGGAACCATTTTGCGTAAACGGAAGGAGCATCGCGTCGACTTCGACCATGTGGATGTTCTCGAGAAGCCTTCACTCCGCCTCGCACTTCAGGACACTGCCCTCACAGATAGCCAAAAGTCTCCATTGTAGTTCCTTTTTTGGGTTACCTTAGTAACTATCCTAAATATAAACTTGGTTAAGCCCAAAACGGACTACAATGGAGACTATAGGTGTACCATGTTCAGGTGATAAGCACGAGCCTTGCATTAGTTTCCTCGTGCGGTTACCGCTTCATCCTGCGATTTTGTAGTGTCTGTATGTCCATGTGCCAGCGACAATGCCGGCACATCCATGGGAATAAATCAACTGATGCTTTCGAAAAAAAGGTTCAACATTTTTCAGCCGGGATGGCTCAAAGTGTTGCGTCGGTTTCTAGGCTTTACTGACGGACCCTATTGCAACTCACCGAGTCTTTTACTTTTCCTGCAGTCAGCCCCACTAGCTCTCCTGTACCATGTAGTCGTCGACGCCGGCTGCGAGAACTTCGGCTTTTGTTCGGCATGTCGATTAGCGTTCTGAGCGGCAAGACCGCTACATTTTGGTTGAGGTTATGGTGGAAGGTGTAGACGTCCCTGGACAGGCTTGACCCTTTTTGGGATACCCTGGTGAGATGCTTTAAGAAACCCGAAGTAGGTCCTAGGTAGCTTCGAAGAACAGATGGATGCTTCAGCTGTGGGGTGGAAGGCTATTGACCACTATCCATTCCTGGTATGCCAGGCTCGTTGGCCAACCTTTCCTCAGTTGTACGCCGAAGGCGCAGCTGAGCAGCATGGATCTTTGGATTCGGTTTTTGGAAGTTGGTCGAAATTCGGGTAGCGATCTGAAGGATTAAAATGATAAGGATGAGAGATGTGATTCAGAACAATCCCAATCTCGCAGGTTGAGCAGTGCGCAGATCTTTGCGGTGCTGGCAGTCTAAAATCTAAGTTCATGGTGAGTTGCTGCAAACACCTGCAGTTTGCCACCGTTCTTGTGAGAGGTGTACATATGTATGTATGTATGTATGTATGTATGTATGTCTGTGTGTAATGTACATACTACTAGGTAGCTGGGCATACATATGTATTTAATGCGTGTATGCACGTCCGTACACAGTCTAGGCATCGACAGCATACATTTCGTGCTGCTTCTTCTGTGCGATCAAGCTCAGAGACTTTTTGACTGTTTTCGTCGTCATTATAGTCTGCTTTTGGACAACCCTGAAGTCGTCTGAGAACATCTAAGAACTCACAACCTCTCAGCATTAAGTCTCGACTCGAATGTAGCATGCTCCATCCGAAAGCTTTACCATCGCCCGAGCCGGTCGTCGACTTGATCCAAACCCTTCCCGTAGCCCAAGACTCGTCTCCGCAGCTGCCCCCACGCCCGCAAGTTATCACATGCAAACTTCTACATTCCCAGCGAAAAGCAGGGATGGCCAAGGCTGCAAGCCTCAAGAGTTGATGCTTCAGCCGGGTTTTGTCTCATATAAGCTGAGGTCTTGCTCGATGTCAAAAGATTTTTTTCTTGTCGCTCCTTTGTCTCAGCTGAGGTCCTGCTCGGTGGTTCGGACCAGCTTCGCGAGTTGGCGCAGCAGGGCGACCTGCTGTTCCTTGGCTTTGCATGCAGCTTTCCTGTCGAAGAAAAGCATGTAATGCAGGGGCCTAAATAACTACCTATACTATTCTTGGGGCACCTTATTATAATTGCAGTCTAATGGGCCCCAAAACCCTATTCTAATTATTGAGGCCTGTCATTTGGGAGTTTGGAGTTCAGGGACGGCCCTGTGAGTCCCCAGGTCTTTGCCAGGGCCGCGTTGTCCGGGGATGTGCCGTTACTGCTGTTGCTGGTCCCGTATGGATTGGCAAGACTGCTCCTGCGTCCTCCTTCTGCTCCGGCTGTTGCTGCTACTGTTATTGCTACTGCTACCACTGCCACTACGTACGTCTACTGCTGCTATTACTACGACGACGACGACGACTACTACTACTGCTACTGCTACTGCTATTGCTGCTTCTGCTGCTAGTGCTACTGCTACTGCTGCTGCTGCTACTGCTGCTGCTGCTGCTACTGCTGCTGCTGCTACTGCTACTTCTACTGCTACTACTAGATCATCACCACTACTTCTACTACCACTGCTGCCACCACCACTGGCTACTACTACTGGCCCCACCGTCACCATCACTAGTGTTGAGAACTTTGTTTTATCGTGGGTGGTTTCTTTCGGTGCCGTGTATGCGGCTTTGGCGCAGAAGCCCGCAACCCGTAAAGAAGCCCAACTCCTGCTGCAGAACTGCAGAGTTTCGGATTCGTAGAAGAACCTGAATCTACCATACTGTCTAGTACAGGGATGCTCCACCAGTCGGGTTTGGCCAGCTTCGGTGTTGCCCTTGTGTTGGGCCCCTTGGCGGTGGCAGGAAGTTGAACCGAACACTAAAGCCCTAAATGATTGGATCCTAGGATCCGTTAGGATCCTTAAACAAGGTACCCTTACTCTTTGAAACTCCAAGACGTGATTGTGCCCCAGCCTCCGTCAACGTCAAGTGTGAGCTATCACTGTCTCGTGTTTGATGAACATTCTACAGCAGGTACAAATCAAGCTTGTGAAGCAGTGGCTAGAAGCCGAAGGTGTTTTAGGTCCTGGAATCTTCCGTAGTACATTCCGAAAGATCAAAGCCTCAGCTTAAGCTTATCAAACAGTGTGTGGAGTTTCGCCATGTAATCTTAAACTTAAGTCTAATGTTGGAGACAGCCCGTCAAAAACCCTCACCGTCATTAGAAGCACCGAAGTCTTTCCCCTGCAGTGTGACCCAGCCATCTAGGTGGCAGGGGGATATCCGAAGCACCGAAGCCAAAATGCAGGGATGCTCTCCGAAGCTCCACTGCCCGTGAGCGTGCGGCGCTTGCGCTGACATTGCAGCGCCCATCGTAGCCAACGGTCGCAAACCTCCATGCTTAGACCGAATAGTTTGCAGATGTATACCTAGGTCATATCCACTCAATATGTGTTTGAATGATTGACTCTGCTGCTTTTCCATCTTCATAAATTTAATGTAACTAGCGTACTGAGAATAGGAGATGACGTGCAGGAGGACGATACTGTATAGCAGAATGTCGTTTCTCGACTAGATGTCATCTTTTCCTCATTGTGCGATAAGCGGAGCAGCCTCGGGTCCAAACGAGGGATTAGCTCGAAGTCTAGAAGAGTCTATCTAGCCAGCAGACAAGAAGCAGACAGCCCGGAAGCTGCGCAGCCTCCGCGGGAGCAAAAGGGCCGGGCAGGCTGGTACCGTGTAGTTGATGCTGAAAGAAATGTATCTCTCAGCAACACTTAACCCGTAGTAGTGTTGAGCATCTGTTTTCCCTGCATTGCATCATGTTGGTCTTGAGTTCCGGTGCGGTCTATCTGTATCTTGTGGCTCATCAAGCCCTAAACCCTACATTTATACCCAGCAACGTTCTGAGCAAGTCTGGCAATGCTCCTCCGACTGCTTCCCACCTCTTCGCCACTACATGCATACTGGGGCTCCGAAAAGCCCACAGTAGACATTATTGGTACTATTTATAACTGTAAGACTTGTTTCAGACCCCGAAGTAGGTATCAGTTATCTGACTTTGTCCCAGGGGACAAGACTACTAACCAAGATCCTTGCTTTAGGGTTGAGGGTTTGCGAAGTGGAAAGCCTGTTGCAAAAGGGGTGGGGGTAACGTCGTTTAGCTGGGGCATAGTGGTTAAGTGGCTTTGGAGTCGGCGGGTTTTGAACGCAGGGTCCTTGGACTTAATTTCAGGGTACAAAGGGTAGCTTGCGCGGAGCGACAGGACTAGACGGTATTAAGACAACAAGCATAAGAACAATAGTAAAACATGGATTTCAGGGTCTTGGATTTTAGTGTTGGGGGCTCGGAGCGGCCCGAAACATTGAATCCTAGCTCTAATCCCTGGGTGTATGGACTCCCTGCCTGGCGAACCTGTGTCTCGCACTCTAGTAATGTTGGAGATCAAAACCCCTCCGCGCCGATTAAACCTCTGATTTCTCAGCAGTTCCCGGCCCCTTTTGAGGTGAGTCTGGTAAGGGAGTTCTCGATGTGAAATTTAGAGATCGAGACGTCTGCTGAGAGAAGACTGCAATGCACAGCTGCAGGGTTTTAATAGGCAAGATGCAGGAACCCCTTAAAGACTAAACACCCTGACTCTAAAAAATGTCAGCCGAGGTCAGAATCTGGTTTATGCCGAAACGCAGATGAACAAGGCAGGCTGGAGAGGTTGCACTGTTGACGCTCCGTATGTGTTGCATGTTGAATAGTTAGAAGTTCGGATTTTTGGCGTTGCTTCAAAAAAGGGGTTTGTGGGCATAGTATTCTATAACCCAAAGGGTCCAAAGTGTCTATTATGTCGTGGAATGTAGGGTTTCTATTTGGTTCTAATTTTGGAATCCTTATTATGGTTTGGGAAAGTATTCCCGCAACAGCACCTAGGACCCTTTGGGCAATAAACTTCCGTTATCTTCATCAGAGATGAGTCGGCGATGGGTGTGGACATGCTGCAGGATGCGCGGTTCCATGCAAAGGGTCTTGTGCCAAGTTGCAGCCCCAATCACCCGTCCCGCGATTGTCCGCGAAGTGCAAGTTGTTGGGCAGGCCTCCAGCCGGAGCCATGCGATCTTCCAGCTGAGGACCTATCTTGTTTCGGGGCAGTTAGTTAGGCACGTCAGTTCCGGGCGGACAAGTCTGAGTTGTGTGCACGGGGCATCACCAGGCAGTAGTTGTGTCCGCCTTGTGTGCTGCCTGCTGTCTCTTGCGATTGTCATTGTTTCGGAGCATTGTGACCAGCGAGTCAACTGCCGTTACAGTAATGAGATGTGAAAGACTGCTGCTGCTGCTGCTACTACTACTACTACTACTGCTACTACTACTCCTAGACCTACTCCTACTCCTTCTACTCCGACTCCTACTACTACTGCTGCTACTGCTACTACTACCACCACCACCACCACCACCACGACTACTACTACTACTACTACTACTACTACTACTACTACTACTACTACTACTCCGACTACCTCTGCAACCGCTGCAACCGCCACCGCGACGACTATTACTAGCGCTACTGCCACGACTGCTTCCCAGCACCACCAGAGCCGGTGCAACCGCCGCAACTGCCATCACGACAACGACTGCTGCTGCTACTTGTACTGGTTGTTCCAGTCCCAGTTTGCTTGCTCGTACTGCTGCTGTAGCTGCTGATGCTATTGGTATTACAACTCAACCGCGTCTAGCATGAGATACCCTATTCCTCCTATCAGTTTTCTTGCGGTCTTTGTCGGCAGCAGGATCCGTCGACGAGTTTCCTCGGAAGATGGTGTGACAGGCATCCAGGGGGCGGATACAGATAAAGGAACACGTGCCAATGATCGAGGATCAGCTCGTCAGAATGTCGCCTTGAACCCCTGCAACATGTGACTTCGGGATACTATCGTTAGACCACGTGTACTTCGGTTGCTGACGTCTTACCCAAAGAGACACACCTGCGGGACACGGGGTGCCTCAAGCCTCTGCTCTAGGAGCTTCTGAAAATGCAGGATCTCTTTTGAGAACGTCCCTTACCCTAAGGGTCCATGTACCCAAATAGTAGAACATTGGCCTTAATGTAGTCCCTATGTAGGTACTTTGGGGCCAAGGTTCTACTATTTGGGTACATGGACCCTTAGGGTTACATTCAGGGTCCCAAGAACTACGCCTCTCCAAGAAAGCCTTTATTGCACCAGGGGCGAATCCCAAAGTGTCCTGAGTCCTTCGTACCTATTTGCGGGGTACGTGCCCACACCATAATATCAATTCCTGCTATAGACGAGGCACTGACACCCAAACCCTGAACCCTGAACTTCCTCTCCTTGCTGGGAACAAAAACTTCCGAAACCTTACCCAAACCACCATTGCCATTCCTACGGTGTGTACCGATATGGCTGACACCTACCCAAACCATAATCGTAATTCCGACTAGATATGAGTGATAACTGAGAACTCCTAGTAGTACATATGGGGACAACAATAATTCCGATATATATATATATATAGAGAGAGAGAGAGAGGCACGTGCTCTCTCCTGCGGGTGGTGGACCTGGCCGGCTCTGACGCTTCCTCGAAATTTTCAGGTTCAGGCGGGTTGACTCTCGGCTTCGGAACTAATCCTAAGGGTCCACGTGCCCTCAAAAGGGTTCGCTTGAGGGTTCTACAAGGGCTTTGGGTTTGGTGTATGCGGGCCCATCTACCCATGTAGTAATTATATAGGTTGGCCTTGAAGTAGTCTGGTAAGTAGCGCTAGGAAAGTTTGGCGGGAGGCCGCGTCGCAGATGCCCCCCAGAACTCCGAAACTGCTTGTGTCAAGCGATGGAGATCAACGTTGGCCCGAGGAGAGGACGAAGAAGAGCAAGGTGGAGGGCCTTCGCATCTTGGCTGGTGATCTTTGAACACATGGAGTGGGGGAGAGATTGTTGTTGCGGTTTGAATTCGATCGATGATGAGGATAGAAATTTCGATGCGTCTTACTACAAAGTATTGAACAACTTTGTTGTAAGCATCATGGCCCTGGCAGTCGGGATCATAGCCGTGTCTACGATGTGTTGTTTGCTGTATGTTCGCCTTGTTATACAATTGTGCAGCCTTTGTCTTATTGCTCTTGTCGTCTTCTGTCTCAAACACCAGCTGTGACATGCTGCTGACTATATTTCATGTGAGGTAATAACTAGCCTTCAGCTCTGAAGCTGTCTCAGAACTTTCCGAGGTCTCAAGGAGACGAATGCCATCAATAGGAGCCTGCTGGCCTTGGGACGCTTGGTGCGGCAGCATGTTCCCAAAACACACAGGCCCCAAGCTCTTTTTTTCCAGGCTCCAGACTGGACTGCGTCGTTGGGTAGTCCGTGTAGTTTCATGTCAGTGCACATGTCTAGCATGCATCGTTAGGGAATTTCTAGAGCTTGGCAGTGCGAGCTTGTATCGGGCTCTGTTATAGTCAGTAGGCGTCTGACGTCTGAGCCGAGGGAATGTCGTGAATGCTTTGGCTTTCCGGAAGCAGCATGTCCCGATCCGGGACAGCAGCTTTGCTCAAGAAGAAACAGGATTCGGGTCCGGTTTCTCTAGGGGGGCATGTTTGCGATTCACGACACTCTTTCGACCCATCAAGAGTCAAGACTTCCAAGAGTGTAAAATGAAGAGAGACAGTCTGAGACTACGGACCACGAAGTAGCGGACTTGTGTCAGCCTGCAGAAAGCTCCTTGCCGAGGGCTCTCGGATAGATGCCCGTACAGCCCGCGAAGGCAAGCTCACGCTGATGTTGTCCGATTCCTTGGGGGGCAACTGCAAGACTGCAATGTCCGAGCCTCGGGTGTTTGAAGGCAGTTGTGAAAGCTACACACAGTGTGGGTTTCCAGAGTGCGCGACATAGCAAAGCCGACTCCTGCCAGTAGTGGGCTCAGCAGGGATTACCAAGCGCGACTGGTGTTTTCTTGGTTTCAGGAATTTGCGTTGCCCACTCCCCCCCGTCCAGAAAACTTGGGGAATTTCCGAATTTAAAAACATCTCTTCCACTTCAAGGGTCCCCAAATTGCAAGCCCTCATGTTGCTTGCTAAGGCTCGTTTGTGTGGGCCCCTGTGCATCGCATGCAGCTGAGACGCTGAGCAGCTTGGAGTTTGCCTCCAGGGCAATGCACATCGAAGCTCGGTCTTAGGATTTCGAAATTTAGGGTTTGAGCCGACTTCCCAAGCCCCCCGGCCGGATGCAAAAAGGGATCGGGTTTGAAGGGTTTAGGGTCGTTTGGGTGTAGGGATCAAGGCCAGTGATTTCAAACCCTCGTTGAGCCCCGGATAGAGAGAAGATGTGAATAGCGCCGGAGGGGATCCAGCAAGTTGAATCCATGGAGAGGTGGCCGCAATGATATGATTGGGAGGTCATGGGACACTTGGGCTGGTGCCCTATTCAGGCTTTGTGTCCTTCGGTGCAGCGCCAGCATTTGACATAGATCCCCACACTCCTCGATCCCCTTCACCGCGGGCACCCCCAGCCCCAATTTTCGTAAAAGGCTTCCAAGGGGGGGGGTTCTCGTTCTGACAAGCCAAGACGCAGCCCCACAGCCCCAGAAGCGAAAAGCCAGGAAGTCCACGCGTGCGTCAACGTCTTGCCCTGTGCAGCCGCCGAGCCCTGGGTGGAGGGATATGTGCAAGGCCTCTCCGAACAGGCTCGAAGGGGAGGTCATGTGAGTTTTTTTAGCAGCACTGTCCGTTCCCATGGTGGAGGGGACGACACTACTGACACGCATGATTGTGATGATGAAGATGAAGATGAAGATGAAGATGAAGATGAAGATGAAGATGAAGATGAAGATGAAGAAGATGATGATGATGATGTCAGTGGTGCTGTTGATGATTGCTGCGGCCGAAGGAATCCGACAACCTAGACCATGGGAAGCTGTCCAGAATTCTGACGAAAGAAAGCTAAAGGCGCGGGGCCGGAGAGACGCAAGCCCGAAGCCTCCCGCGAAACAGGGCCGTGTTGGGCCAGCCTTCAAACCCTAAACCCTATATATATATATATACATAATAATAATAATAATAACAATAATAATAATAATATCA